TTGAGGGATGAGGTTGAGGCCTACTGGCTTCCCTCCAAGCTGCTGCAGCGTGGATGGTGGCCGGCGACTCTGTGACAAAGGTGCTATCCTCTCCCCTGGGGGTGGCTGCCTGACTCCTCTCCCCTGGGGGTAGCTGCCTGACTCCTCTCCACTGGTGTGGTTGCCGGTGTGGGTGCTCCCCCCTGCAGCCTGTCTTCATCTGGGGCCACCCCTGTGGCCCCTGCTCCTGGGGACCGCGATGGTGCCGGCCGGCATTCCCACCCGCCGGCGCAGCTGCCCCCCCCCGATACTACTCCTTGAGGAGGTGGAGCCCGGGCCCGAGGCATCACCTGGCCGCGTGTCTGAGGCTTCAGACACGCGACCTTCAACTACTACACTGGATCCGCGGCCTACTGCTGCTGTGCGGGACTTGCGGCCTCCCCCCTCCTGCTGTTGGGGTTTGGGGGGACCTCTCCTGGATGGGTCTTTCTCCCCTGCCCCCCCCCACCCCTTTTTAGTTTTTCCTCCCTCCCCTTCGCCTGGTCTGGTACTGGTGGGCCCCCCCTTTTTTTTGCTTTCGGGGGGTCCCCAACTCCTCCCCCGGTGTCCCCCTGGGTTTTCCTCTGGTCTCTGCGGTCCCTCTGTTCTTTTCTCCCTCCCCCTCTATCTGTTCTTCCCCTCTCTCTGTTCTCCCCCCCCTCTGTTCTCTCCTTCCCTCTCTCTCTGTTCCTCTCCTGTGTCCTTCCTCCTCACCCTTTCTTACCCTGCTCTTACCTGTTCCTGTCTCTTCTGGGTCTTCTCTGCCTTCTGTTCTTCTCTCTCTGCCTTCTGTTCTTCTCTCTGCCGCTTACTTACCTTGGCTGCCTCCTGGTGGAGCATAGGCTCACATCCTCTCATTGCCCTTCTCTCAGGTCCTGGCTGCAGTTCGTAGAAATGCCCAGCAGGTGGTGCCTGGAACACCTTGGAAGAACACAGAGGTAGCTGAATTCAGTGTCTTCTGTGTGAACCTTCTCCGCTTGTTATGCCACGTTGTTCCTTCTTTTATCCAGTTGGGTCCCTGGCGGGTTCCTTTTAGAGCTGAGGGGGTCTTAGCGCCAAAAAAAAAAAAAGGAGAAATAAAGAGATGTGTTCCCTCCTGCCACTGGGGGTCCCTTGACTAAAAGGGACATTAGGGACTCCGGGAGGGTCGTGGAAAAATACCATAATCGGATACACCCCATGACGCGTGGGAAGGGTGTCAGGGCATCGTCTGTTCTGGATAGCGTGGTCGGGGAGAGGGCTCCCCGAGAATGCTCCGCAAGGTTCTGCGCTCAGGACACTCTGGGACGCGTGTCGTCCCTAGGGTGAACTGTGTTGGTGGTGGCATGTCTTGCACTTTCGTCAACAGTTGGTGGTGCGACCCTTCTTGGCCTGGGACCAGATGGACTTAGGCCTCTGGTTTTACTTTATGGCTCGCCCAGCGCCTCAGTATGGTGCATTTTTCGTCCTTTCTTGGGGGGGGGGCTCGGTGGGGGGACACTCTGTCTGGACTGGCCCCCAGTCGTAAGCTAGGCTGTGGTTGGAAATTCACTGACGGGCACGGTAAGTGGGGGCCTTGTGCCATTCCAGCATGAGGGCTCCGGTTGCCGGGGGGCCCATCCCATCCTCCGCGGTTTTGTGCGGGCAATCTGTTGGGATGGGGGCGTGGCTGCTCTCCGTGCAGGACCCTCAGTCCATATGAGAACTCCATCGAGCCGGTTTAACAAAAAAGCTTGGTAAGCTTACCTCCTGACTGTTTTAGTGTGCCCCTGAAGTCATTTGTCCTTTGGGACATGGTGCCCATGGAGGAGCGGGGTCAATATCGCCTGATTCCTTATTTACTCAGTTGTCGTTCCTTTCCAGGGGTTAGGTATGTGTTGGCGTGGCATGACGCAGCGGTCTGCGTGGGTGGGACTGCGGGGCCCTGGGGGGCCTTGCTGACGAAGGCAGCTGTGGAATCGGCTTTCCGGCTGCTGCTGGTGTGCCCGGCGGGTTATTGTTTCCAGGCTGTATTTCTGACGGACAAGGTTAAGTGGCTACGTGCTCCCACAAGAGTTGCTCCCAATGTCACTTATGTGTGGGGCTGTCAATGTCACACGTCCGCATTCTGCTGCTGCGGTGTTTCTTGGGGTAGTGTTTCAGCGTTTCGGAGTTCCATGGCCCAGGAGATATCCGTGGGTTGGGATACGTGCTGTAGTCTCCTGGATAGTGGGATCGATTCTGGCCTGGGGAACGTTGGTTGCCCTGACTGCGGTTAAGAGATCCGGCGGGAGGTGTCGGTG